TCTCGCATACTAAGTATGAGATATCCCCTGAGATAGCCACCGAGATAAATCTTCGCGATAACTTGCAGACCCCGAGATGGGTTTATCTCGCACTACTTTTTAATCCAATGATTTTTCTTAATTACAAGGTCAAAGGTCACCTTTACAGTTTTTGGCCAATCAATACTCATAAAATTATTTAATAAAAAATAAAAAAATAATAAAAACATAAATAAAATAAAATAAAATAAAAATTATGTGCAAAATATTGAATTACTATATTCCTTATTACCTCATTATAGATAACCACGTCTCATACTCGCTACGCTCGTATGAGATGGGATATCTATAACTCGGATGAGATATCCCATCTCAAGCTCATACTGTGAGTGTGATAGAACCTACTGTGATAGAATACTGTGTTAGAATACTGTGATAGAACCTGTGATAGATCTCTCGCTCTCTCTCTCTCTCTCTCTCTCTCTCTATATATATATATATATTATAATATATATCTATTATATGGCCTAGACGAATCTACTGTATTTCGAATGCCATGCCACCACTGTCAATCAGAACGTAGGGCGTTGAGCAATTACGGGAGAGATGGATGATAAATTACATTTTAATGTTGATAATGTAATTTATACCTGTGATTTCCACTTTTAATTAATTCTCGTAATTTTCATCTAACACCCGTGCGTACACACAGCAGCGAGAATATGACTTGTTGCTAACGGCGTGGCTGCGAATGAAAACACTGAAATATGGCAGCTATGTAAGAAAAGGAAATACCCAACTATATTGGAAAAAGAATTAAGGGTACCATGGCGACTGTGGCGCAGCTGCCGACGGCGGTTCCATTACGGCTGGAAACATGCATTTCCATGCAAAGGGCACAGCAACCGATTACAGCAAAATCGATGCACAGGCTACTAGGTACTAGGTAGGTTATCGACATTTCATTATCATTAGGCAGCAGAACGATGAAGATTGAAGCATGCCGATTGAAGCCAATAAAAGCACTGAGCTCGCAAACAATTGTCACCTACGTGGGCCCCATCTCCCACCATCAACACGATCGTCATAGCAACTATGGAGAATTATCTGCAATCTTGTGTCTAATTCGCCGACGTGCTCAGTAGGCTGTGGGGGCTTACATCCAGCAGTGAATAAATACAAGCAGTCTACAGAAGCAAATCTATCGCTGTAAGACGCACTACATATATAACCCGAGCTGCCAAGCGCACGCGTCGACGTAAAGCGCAATGCTCGAGCAAGCGTTTTGTTAATGGCTTGTCAAATAACCACGCGGCAAAGCATCAGAAACGCTGGCCATTAGTCAAGTCGCACGTTAAAGTTGCCGAGACTTGATTATCAATCTCGATAGGTGCGGAACCGGCACAGTCTTCGCAGAAAAATTAATCATTTAACAAATTAGGATTGAATAAAAATAACAATTACATTTTTTTTATACACTCTTGAAGCAGTGTAGACGTAGATAAGTATTTTAATCCCTACAACTACCTTTCCACTGCTACTACTACTAAGTACTACCTAAACGTTGCAACTACTAATACTTTTATGTGGTTTCCTTATCGTGTAGATTTAATCTTTTCAACTATTTAATTTGCAGTGTCGCATGGCTGCTCGTGTATTAATTACGCCCGAGCAAGAATGATTTTGCTGGATATCGTCCAACGTCAACCGACACTCGTCTCATTAACTATATATACTACTGCCACATAAATGTTTTAGTGCTCCCCTCCCCGATTTAGGGTGCGATAAAATGCGGGTATTAAACAGTTGCTTCTCACTCATCACCTCACACGCCGGCAGCTAACTTTCACTATAAATCAGAAATGCGCACCGCTTTAGCGTTTTCACAGTCGTTACTTTAAGCGCATTGTAAATTCATCTAAACTAGTCAGACACGACATTTAAAACATATCGGCGTTGGCTGTATTAATTTGCGCCGTAAATCAGTATATATATATATATATATATATATATATATATATATATATAAACCATACTATCACAGAGTGAGTTAGTTAGCCGGCACGTCGTTACCTGCTGACGTTAAATTAAATATCAGCAAGCAAGACGTTTCCTACGAGTTACTCGTCTCAGCTCTTTTATTGGTTATGTGCATGTAGGGGCGCGATGTAAGTATTGTACTGGGAAAGGGGTTCAGACTTCGGGTTCTCGTGGTTCGACAGCGTAGAAGGTAGCAGCGTTGATAGCGTATAGATAACCTGTAGAGAGTATAGACGTAGTCGCAGATTCTTGTTTCACTTGGACTTTATTAGAAAACTCGAACACATACAAAATATATACATATAGTGATATACGTACGGCAACCTAACTAGGTCCCGTCATTTCTGTTTCCGTCGCTACATCTTGAATGACTCGCGTAACTCGGTTCCTAACTCTGTAACAAGCTCGTCAACGGCATGGTCAACGTGGATACCAACAACCGTCTGATACCACCTACTCGAAGCACCAGGAACATGTCAGAGCACTCTTTTCAAATCCCATCCTGCAGATGTGACTACAGGAAAGGCTCCTTCTTTCCCAGGTCTATTACAGAGTGGAACGCCTTAAATTACCCACTGAAGTGGTGACAGCCGAAAATCTATGTTCCTTTAAGTCTCTGATTATACTGCCTAAACGACATCAGGGCAGTTTTTTAAGTAAAATTTGATTTTTTTGGTTTTTTTTTCTTTAGAAAATCAAGGGAAGGGAAATTTTATTTTAGTCTCAACTAGCGCCTCCCGTTGGCATAATCATCAGTATGTTGAAGGTGGCCAATATAGCGTAGAAGTAGAAAGTAGAAGTAACTCGGTTCCTATCTTCCGTCTCCCCGAGCGTCTATTTAATTACAAGCTTCTTAAAAGCGCCCGGACGCCCCACAATCCACCCCCAGTTTCCCCCCGCAGCTTCTACTATTAGTGACATATATTAACGCACAATTGTCTGTAATCATTAGGGTGCGCGGTAGGGCTACGTATATATATATATATATACGAGCATACGTCCCATGTTATTACCAAAACAACAATAACTAGCCAGGGTTAGAAGTATAGACGCAATCCCTAATTAGCCGCAGTCCTACAATACAACATAAGCACACGCCCCACCCCTACCCTATAGATCTGCAGAGTGGATTATCAGTATGCAGACATGAAGCTACGTCAGAGATTCCGAAATGTAAATGAATGCATTTTACTTTCCGTACGTTAAGCAGTGTCAACAATCTTGGGTTCCTTCCGTGGCTACATCTTGTGGTGATGATTCATTGCTAATAAGGAGATAGATATTGTATTCTCTAGAAGAGATCGGTGTCGGGGGGTGTACTTTGCCCGGAAATGATTTAGAGCCTCAGAGATTGCTGCAGAACCGATATATATGCGAAGAACGTCGTCTGCGTATTTAAAATATGTACTGCCGTATATATGCTGGCCAATATTTACTTACGTCTCATCACTAGCGTTTACTCACTGCGCGAATCGACACGTGTCTCTGCATTCGGACGTTCTCGTGAGCAATATAATATATTGCATATTATCAGAAGTAGATAATAGGGAATTATTATTATTATTAGAGAATAGGAAATATTCCCTATTATCTACTTCTGATATTATGCTACTCGGACAATATTACACACATACGCATATACGCCTTTTCACGTAATTTTGCTTTACAAACTGTCGATGACAAACGCCAGTATCGATGTTAGTATGATACAAAGGCCTGCTTACAGAGCTTACAGCAACGATCTCACGCGCAGCTCATTGACTGCGAAATCGTAAACTCGGATGCGTCAGACTGTCCATCAGCATGCCGCGGCGCACTCATTTTCGCATTAGCTGCACAAAAACGAACTAAATATTCACCCCGTTCCTTTTAAAATCGCATAGTTCGGAATTCAATTAATTCACTTCGTTACTTCCATTCACGTCAGCTATAAATCCCGCCAAAGCTAAGCGCTGGCCTCGCAGCTAGACCAACCAGCAGCCCGGGTGAATGCACGCACATACTGAGCGATATATATTTATACTCACACTCACGATTCACAGAAGTCGATACATGATTATGTATTTCTCAGTTTCGACACGCTCGTTTTTCAGTATTGTCATTGAGTTAAAATATCTGTCAAAATGCCCAAAAATGCAGCAGAAAGGGTTGATCGACTGTGGTCTCACGAGGACAACGTCGCTCTTCTCGAGATTTGGAAATCGGATTTTATACAGGAACCTCGAGAAATAATCTAGCCTACCAAAAAATTGTTGAAAAACTGGCTGACCGGAGGATAGTTAAAACTGTACAAGTTAATAATCGGCTCAAACAGTTAAGAAATACTTATAAGAAGGTGGTAGACATCAACAACAAATCGGGAAGGGCACGAACAACGTGCGCGCAGTTATTTCATGGAATTGGACGAAGTGTTAGGAAGGCGTCCTAGAACTGATCGATCAAACCATAGATATATACAACATATGTTGTATATATCTATGATCAAACGTCGTGTGAACGCTCTCTTCAAAATCGACCTGTCGTTTTTGATCCGGGTCAGTCTCGGACCGTTTTCGACCCGGGACAAATGGCTCCGTATGAACGCGGCTTTAGTCTGCGTGGCGTTAGCTCTATCGGTGCAGCCCCTTCGCTCCTGTCCCTCATGTAGCGGGAGCGAAAGGGCTACACCGGTAGAGCTAGAGTGCCGTCAGCTGTGACAATACTTTGTAATACTGTGATAAGTTTTGGTTGGTATTGGCAGATGGTACCACCACCTAACAAGCCGAATTTTTATTTATTTAGAGATGGATACTTTACTATTAAAACTTAGATAAAATAAATAAATAAATATAAATATATATATATATTTATAAAAAGAGAGAGTCTCGTTTCAATTATGTGCGACATTAACGAGTTCATGGCAATCACTTCTCATCCCCTTGACCAGTCGTGGAGTTACAGTCGTGTAATGCTTTTTCCAGTTGAGCACTGGGGATTGCCACATTTTCACTGATTTCCCACGGTAGGCCAATTGTCGCGTACCATCAAATGAAATTAGCAAAGAGGAGAGTGTAGTTCAACAAATTCGTCACGTATTCCGGGCTCATGTATACACGTTTAGACGCGTCGGGTTCAGGACAGTGTAAACGACCGTGTAGTAAACACGCTCTCGCGCTGATCCATAGCCACCATTCAAACATATATTGTAATACGTGATTGGTCGGTTGTGTTCGGCATGCCTTCCTGCCTACCAGATGTTCTTGTCACGGGTTGAAAGTCTGTGAGGGCAGAGCGTACTCGGTAAGAATGAAGCGCCACAGGCTTGCAAGTATGTATTTCCCCATACAAGCAATCACATAATAATGCATGCCATGCAGCTGCAAAGCTGCCGTCTTTGATCGGCACACGCTGAGCTCGTTCTTGTCCGTACACAGATCGTCGCATATTCAATTTTAAGGAAATTGTCTTTTGTATTGATGAACGCTCGTGATCAGGCTCAGATAAAACCAGTTTCTAAACCACGTTTCCATATATATATATATATTTATTCTAGATCTATCTATCTATCTATCTGACCGCCCCGCCCGCGCCGCTCGCCCGTTCCCGTCCGTCCCTGTCTGTCTGTCTATCACTCTCTCTCTCTCTCTCTCTCTCTCCTCTCTCTCCTTCTATATATATAATATATATATATAAATAAATAAAATATATATATATTATATAATTATATAATAATACTATATATATGATGATATATATATATAAAGAGGTACAGTCGTATGGATATAAAACCAACAAAATGTAATAGAACGAGCAAACCGAACGAACAACGCAAAAATCTAAACAAAGGTAGAAGTTCACTGAAATACACCACCCAGAATGTACCTCAGAAATTGTAGATAAACTTATCTAAATAAATGTTTGTTTGATCACGCGTTTTTTGAGCAACACACATTCGATTATAACTATTATCAGACTTTAGTTTGACTCCATAAAAACACAAATTCGAGCGCGATACAGTTGATGATTCACAAGTAAATTCTGGTTAGTAAATGTTGAATATTTTGCGCTTTTATTGATACTCATCCTACTTTTTACAATTTTCGACTGACATTATAGGTGCTGATTAGTGATTCCCAACTAAAGGTTGCCATAACGAGTTGACCGTAATAACACGAAGCTATTCTACGTGGTCAGGCGAGGTCAATGGACGCATGGCTCTCCATAAAAGCTCTCCATAAAAGCCGACGACTCGCTCATTGATTTTACTGCTGTTAACGTTTATCACTTCTGACCAGTTCATGCAACATTCAACCGTGGTTCTACGGAGTAATGAATCACTTAACTCAAACTAATAGTGAAAGCTGGCATATTTGAGCCCTTTATGATTTAATAAGTGAACATAAAAAGCAATAATGAGAAGCAGCCGAAGTTAAACATCTTGAAAGGACGTAGCTTACTTGAACAGCAAAGAGTCAAACCAGGCAATACCATCACAAAGTAACACGTGATTTTAAAAATCACGTTTTTAGCTATTTTTCATCGAAAAAATAAGTACGCCACGTAAATAAATCCCAATAATAATAATGAAAACTATACGGAAAGCCAACAATATTCATGTACTAAATCTTGTGTAATGAATAGCGGAATCTGCGGTACATGGCGGGACACGGAAATTATATGTGGGAGGGGAATAGATCTTTTATCGTTTTATCGTTTAGAAGAATGTCACATCACGTAAATGCCATAAAGAAGCCAGTGCCATCTAGTCCAGGCAGTGCCCTAGCTTCGTAGGACTGACTGAACAGTGAACCTTTCAGCTAATGGATGGCAGGCGCAGGGTGGCAAAACCGAATGGGGTCATGCTAATTGGGTAATGAACTTGCACCCAACGAAGAAAACAGCATGCACGTTTAAATGACAACATGCCGATCCGCATCATCATCATCATCATCAGTAGCAGCAGCAGCAGCAGCATCATTTTCATCATCATCGTCATCATCATCATTATCATCATCATCAACACCGTCGTTGTCGGCGTCTTTGTCACCATCATCATCATCATCATCATCATCGTCATCGTCATCATCACCTTTATCATCACCACTGTGATTCCTAGAACTAAATAATAGAACTCTACAGAAAATTTATACATGGGGAGTGATCTTAAGAACATAATATGTAGTATTAATAGTTAGGCCGTGGCTACGCGTCTGGTTACCGGACGCCCAGCTCCCAGGCTACGCGGCCGGTCATACATTTCTTATGTGAACCCAACTATATTTTTTTCAGTAAAAAACAATAAACAATATGTTTTTATCATAATATTACTTACCTTTAGGTATTTTATCAAAAAAATGTGTTTTTGTAACTTTTGAAACAATAGTAAATCCAGTACAATCAACGATTTGAAAGGAGGCGTGGCCTAATTGTGACATTTGGGAATCTGTGCTGAGCTTTGTAATGGATGACCGGACGCGTAGCCACTGTGTAATAGTTAAGACGTAAAATTAAACCCACTTGATGAATTAATTAACTGTTTCATACAAGCAGGAATATGCAAGTCATGTGTCGACAACACATCACGCTGGATAAGCACACAGTAACTAACATGACGCGTGGCTCTTGCACATCAACGTACAAAATAAAGAACATAGGAGAAATCAATGGCAAAAGAAATATACAGCAAACGATGTTCATGATCAGCTGTCACCTGGGTTCGAAATGAAGAGAAATGATGCTCAACACCGTCACTTCCCCCCCCCACCTCCCCTCCGCGTATTTAACAGACGTGATTTAGGCTGGTATGCACGGATAGATGCGGGGGGACGTCTCCAGGCTTATATCCAGGTATATGTGGACACGCACACACGCACACACACGCACGCACGCACACATGGATATAGATCTACATCAGTTTCTTATACAGCACACACAGCTGTTACAGTGCCGTGTTTGCCGACAGTCTATATTCCACAGACATAATAATATGTCTATTGCGTGTACAAACGCTTGCTCTACAAACAGTTGCTCTAGTCCCTTTCAACTGTCGTTGCACTATTTTCGAACGTTAGCGCTGAGATCCTGTAGTTGACAATATAGAGCAACGTCAGCACATGACAAACACGAGCGGATAGTTTGCAACCCCGCAAATGTGTTTTCGCATATATGTGCTAAATCCGGGATCCTAACTCTAGAACGACATAGCCCTTCGCTCCTCTGCCACATGCCTGTAGCAGAACGAAGGGCTATAGTTCTCGAGCTAGGGCGCACCTGGGCTGGGGGCGGGCGGAATGCTTACCTGGCTGGGAATGGCCGGGTTTCTCCGTGGTGAGGGGCGCGCGGTCGGTCGTCAACGGATGCGTGCCCGCGTAGCCGATGCTGATCTCTAACGGCGGCCGCCCCGCTCTCGCCTTCTGCTTCGAGACGACGCACGACAGTATGACGATGACGACGCAACAGACGGCGAGAGCGACAAGGGCCGCCTTCTCGATGGCCGTGCGGCGGCGCCACAAGCTCGCAGCGCTGTACTTCCGGTAGGTGACGCCCGGCTCGTAGGTGCGCGCCGTGTCGCCGTTCGCTTCTCCATCGCCATCCTCGTCCTCAAACTCCGTGCGCCGGTACTTGCTTGTTGCTGACATCTGCAGCAGGCGAACACGCGACAGTTAGTCGCGAGTTGCTATAGTAACGGCACGCGGCTGACCCCGTCTGTCGTTCAGGGCATGTTAATAGGACCGCATACATTGCACGCACATTAAATCAAGAGAGTATAAAGAAGGCTTCTTTATACGCTCTTGATGAAATGCATATACACATGTATTACCAGTGCTGAATATAAGATATTACATACCGAAGATGAAAATATCTCTTAGCACGATATACAGAACGCGGGGCTGCAAATCGTGTGTCGTGTGTGTGTGTGTGTGTGTGTGTGTGATGTGTGTGTGTGTGTGTCGGTGTGTGTGTGTGTGTGCGTTGTATGTGTGTGTATGTCGTGCGTGCCGTACGTAGCGTGCGTACGTGCGAATGCGTGCGTCGTCGCGTCTGTGTGTGGCTAAATTCAGAAAACAAAAGAAATTAGGGGGAAATGATAGCGTCGGTTGGATTCATGTAATGTGCGACAACTGGGTTAATGTTAAATGCATAGTGGGCAAGGAGAGCGAATCTTGAGGAAATTGACCTTAGACATTCCTAACACCCCCCGCTGTCGACCATCGTTCCACTGTTGCGCAACGCTCTGCCTTGATCACATGCTACATTACCTAACCAGCTCATTGTTGACACACGGCCAGCACCGATTCCCGGCATCACGCAATTAAACCCATCGTGAATAAATAACGCGGTTGGGTACGCCATTTTTATACGCGTTGGGCAGAAGCAGTAGCCAGCCACTTTATAGTAATGGTATAGGCCAAATCGAAAAATGTGCACACCTATTGTCACTGTGTTAGCACGGCATAGAAAATATAGAGACACTATGTAGCAGCAGACTTTATATGCCCCTTGACTATATCTCCCGTATAATTATTTTTATCGGTTAGCACCCAAAGGGCGCCGGGTAGGATGTGACTACAGCTGTCTCAATAAACAGGCCGGTGGCATAGATGCGGTACTTGGCAGAAACTAAACACATGATCGTAACACATCTTCTACTGGAGGAGCAGCAGAACGCGTAACGTAAAAAAAACAGTAACACCGTAAAAAACAGTAAAAACGTAAAGCATGTGTAGGCAGAGTGTTTCTATCGGGTAGCCTCCAACTCTGCATCCTACACCCTCCCCTTCTTCTTGCTAAGACATTCGCTGGAGTCAGGTTAAGGCAGGGAGCACACGATGACCGGCTATATGGGGCGACTGGCTGGTAGTAAATTGCGCCTAGGTTTAATGTCTCAATTCATAGCCGTGGCCGCGCCATAGTTGAGCTGATCAGCCGCTGTACTCTGGCTGATTACGTCACTGAAGGCACGCACATCTATGCACCTTCTTTATCGCTCATTAGAGTTACAAGAGGCAATAATACTTATTAGTATATTCAGCTATTGATATATTAAGGAGTTAATGATAGAGTCTCTATTATTCAACTGCTGCATATATCAAGCGGTATCGTGGTTAAAGCTCTGTTATCTAATTTCGTCTAAAGAAAGAAGACGTCGACCCACCTGAGTCTGAATCCTATCTGCTTTCAAACAGTGTCAACAACGAGAAAAATGCACGCACGCTAGTTTTTTTGCCTCGGCGACTGAGCAGCGTCTCTCACTGCTCATAAATTTAGCTGCCAGAAAAAAAATCGAAAAAAAGCCCCCCCCTTGGGGGCCGCGTTTGGCGCACATGACAAAATTACGTAGACAGATTAATTACACTTAATTATCCGAAGGAGCACCATACTCGGCTCGTTAGCTGCTCTAAAGTGTGTGTATTAACGTGGGCCGCAAATAATGAAATGTAATATTCACTCATCCACGAGCACGTCCTCTTTAAATTCGGCGCTAAATCTTATCTCTATTCTGTTTTTCACTGTAGCCGCGCATGCAAGTCTGTATGTATTGTAAGGTGCCGACATCCAGTGTGAACGTGTGGCGCGGAAAGTGAGTGGTTCGCACCCTACTATTCAGGAGTAGATAATTTAGGCGAACATTTACATGGCAAGGTCCTTCCTCCTATAATATGTCCACGCGTTTCAAATGTAGCATATCGCACCGTCTACCCATATGTGTCAAGATATACATCAGAGTGATAATAGAAATAGTAATAATTATTTATTATTATTCACTCCTGATAACATTATAACAGATACTACGTTAGCACTGGTATGAGCGCGTTCATCGCCCACGCGAACTCGCAGGGTGGGGAGGGAAAGCTGCCAATCTATTTCACCAGTGAAACGAAATTGCTGAGCGTGTAAAGTTTCAGCCGACATTGCTCCTGTTAACAGCAAGCCAGCCACCCACGTGAAATCTGCAGAATTAATGCAAGTTGAGACGGCACAGGACATGCGAACGTCAACGATGGTCGTCCATCCATCACAGAGCATTGTAAATCTACATAAAATACTGAGTTGTAACTTAATTAGCTGAAGAACGGAGAAAAATTTTGCCGCTGGAACGCAAAAGAAATTTTGCAGTGCCATTGGTGGCATTAACGGCCAATGCTCGCGAATAATTTTTGTCTTTAAAATACAAAGTCGTAAAGCTAGTTTTTGTAATAATAAATACATCGAGACAATAGTACGACATTAACAGGGGTAAAGACATTTTGTTTTTCACCTCTGATATTAACTTATTATCTTACACCTTATCGAGTGTATGTATACACAGGTACACAGTGCGTGCGTACATGAATATAGATAATTAAAGCAATCCCTTGAAACGGCATGGATGTCACTTCAAGTGCTAGACTGTCGGAGTGACCATGATCCGTCATGTGGATGTAAGGGATTATATTTACACGGTGTAGATGAATTATAGAGGCATCTCTCTGGTCTACATAATCGGATAGTAGATCAAAACGACCCGGATAAGAATCCTCACAAGTGCTTTGGTACATAACCTGTCATGCCACATTCGGCAGATTCCCACCACCAGGTACGCAATCTAATCGCATCAATGAATGAATCGCATCTGACATGAATGATTTACGCATACACATAGCATTATCAGATAATAGGGGCTATCGTATTTTCTACTCTTGACATATAGCCATGTGTCTGAAGTTTGACTAGGTTGGCACTGCATGCTACACTGGTCATGCAGGGGGCGTATACAACCACACATTCTGTAGCAGAACATCCTCTGCACAAATTTAAATAACTCATCACGATGAGATTGTCAATGGGCAATATGTGGACGAACGACGACTAGCCTAGCTCTACAACTATATCTCTTCGCTAACGAAGGGCTATAGTTCTAGAGCTTATACTGGCCATACACCACGACAAGTATACCCAGTTGATATACTTTTGCAAATATTCAAGTTTTCTGTAAATAAAATGTGCAGCGCCAGCGAAACAAACAACAACTTCGACACCAGGCACGTCGTTTGATACACGGCCTACAATTGCTACAAGCCTAGCAGCTCTCTGGTTAGTAGTCTCTGCGCACCCCCGCCGTGATTCACTTTACTATCTGTACATGCAATTATCGTTTGCATGCAGCTATAAGCAGATTAATATACGTCTAATACGCTTGGATACAGACTGTCACAGCGCATCGCGTGTTACATATTCAGAGATGGACCTTTCTGGAGGCAGTGTATGACTATTATCTTATTCGGTGTACTTTCATTATCATGAGCTAACCCGATCTCAATGACACACGCGTACGAAGAATAAGACATAGGTAATATTAGGAGTGAATAATAGAGACTCTATTCTTATTATTATTCACTTAATATATGGCGGGGAAAAGTGACTGAATACGAAATGAAGGAATATTGGGATTCATGGTAATGTGCCGACACTGGGTAATGTTATATAGCATAGATGGCAAGGAGAGCGAATCTTGAGGGAAATTAGCTGCATTCCTACACCCCCGCTGTGCATCGTTCCACTGTGCGCAACGCTCTCTTGATCACATGCTAATTACCTAACAGATCATTGTTCACACGCAGCACCGATTTCCATGGCAACGCATATTAACATAGTGAATAAAATAACGCGGTTGGTTACGCATTTTTACGCGTTGGCAACAGCCAGCCACTTTATAGTATCAAGAGTAGATAATAACACATATAGTGTGTTATTATCTACTCTTGATAGTATGTATAGCAAATCGAAATGTGACACCTATTGTCACTGTGTTAGCACCATAGAAATATATAGAGACATCATGTACAGAGACTTTATATGCTCTTGACTATATCTACCTATATTATTTTTATGGTTAGCACCCAAATAGGGCGCGGGTAGGATGTGACTGTGTTAGATAAACAGGCCGGTGGCATAGATGCGGTACTTGGCAGAACTAAACACATATCGTACACATTTCTACTGAGGACAGCAGAAACGCGTAACGTAAAAAAACAGTAACACGGTAAAACAGTAAAAACGTAAAGCATGTGTAGCAGAGTGTTCTATCGGGTAGCTCCAACTCGCATCCTACACCCTCCCCTTCTTCTTGCTAAGACATTCCCGGAGTCAGGTTAAGGCAGCGGCCGCCACGATGACCGGCTATATGGGGGATGGCTGGTAGTAATTGTGCCTAGTATTAAAGTCTATTCATAGCCGTGCGGCCATAGTTGCAGCTGATCACCGCTGTACTGCTGCTGATTACGTCACTAGGCACCACATCTATGCACCTTCTTTATACGCTCTTGACCACATCTATATCATCAATAGCAAATAATACCTTATTAGTATTATTAGCTATTGATATTATTAGGAGTTAATGATAGAGTCTCTATTATTCACTCCTGATATTATCACGGTATCTGGTTAAACTCTGTTATCTAATTTCGCTAGAAAGAGACGTCGACCCACCTGAGTCTGAACCTATCTGCTTTCTACAGTGTTCAACAACGAGAAAAATGCACCCACGCAGTTTTGCCTGGCGACTGAGCAGGTTTCTCAATTGTATGTAATTTACTGCCAGAAATCGAAAGCTGGGTTGGCGCACATACAAAATACGTAGACAGAATAATTACATAAT